TCTTCAGTTGCTCCCTCCGTAGGCCCGAAGGGGCACACCTCCGGGACGTCATCTCCTCGAATTACCGCTGAAGCCGACACCGTTACATTGATTTCTGATTAAAATAACCAAGTCCGATCAGGAGGTGATGCTACAAGCCTTAAGCTTTCAAATTTCTACGATGTGAAACTGATTGGATAGTGACTGTCGAGGGTTCAGTATCCGCTTCCAGGTTATTGTCCTTAACGCCTGTGCATTGTCGGGTACTGTTGCTCGTAATGCCAATGCTATTGATAGTACAGTAGTCGCCGGCTATTAAGCCCACCTCGGGCCCAGGCCAAATTGGGCTTAATAGGCGGCTGGGCTTATTAACCGTGGGCTTAATAGACGGTGACTACTGTATATACAGGTATTAATACAGACATATGTTTTTGTTTTCTTGCTTTTACCGGCAAGTCTATTCCGTCAATTAACTTCTCCTGTGGGCTTAATGACTGCCAGACGTTGGCGTTTGCCATTTACATTCACAAATTTGAGATTGTAAGTTAGCTTGCAGGAAAATTGAGACTGTTTTCTATTCATTACCTTTTAAATATTGCTGCAATTCCACAACTTCGAAATATTTTTAGAAATATATGCAGCTGTTAATAGCATGTTAGTCAGGCGTTAATGTTCCGAGCTGCTTATCAAAGCTAGTTCGTATTCGTGCGGAACATGGCACAATTCCCTGAAGGACTTACAAGACAATCGTCTAAAATTTCTCACTGGTAAAGTGTAAGGTGTACATTTTTTTAAAATTTTTATCTATTTTTACTGCATGATAAATCTGGTAGTTTGAACCTCCGGCTATAATTGATTCTATACAGGAGCGAGGCAGAATATAGCAAACCAGCTACGGCTAGTAAGTGCACGTTGGCTCAGGGTAAGTTGTATGACGACAAGCGTATTCTTAATCAATAAATTGCAGTTGATTTGTAAAATGAACTATAGGTGAGGTATTTAAAGTAGTGAGCCTTTACCAATAGAATGCACAACAACACAGAAACAACAAATAAGTGATGTTTCATCATAAGCATCCCGACCAATAGAAAAACAAGGATTCCGATAATAATCCTGTCTTACAGAGTAGAAATAATTTGTGAAGTAGTTGATTACTGTTTCTATGTTTCCTGGTCTGTAAAAGTGATTACAACTGAGGCAATTAAAGCAGTTGCAATGGTCTGTATGCAGCTACTAGCGGCCGACCTGGACCATGGCGAAAAGCAACAGTAAGGTGCAAAACACTAGCATGAGATGTATTAGGTTTCTGAGCTCTCTGCTATCGCCTGGTCTCGTATCCATATCTCTGTAAAGTCGACGTGAAGACCTGTCCTTAGCGGATTGGTGGACACTTGTATTAGCGTAATCCTTTTTAAAACGTTCGACTGGTTTAAAATGTGTACGTTTAAGAAAACTCTTACGCAGGCTTCTTATTCCGAATTGTGCACTCCTGAATATGATGCCACATTTGCCGGTGCTACCTCAAAATTTACTTCCGTCAGGCAACCTAAGCCACAATAAATGGAAAAACGTCGGAGCCTTAGCATAGCGCGTGCTTTTTCCGTTTGAAGTGTGCTTTTGTCAAGGCAGTTAGAGTACTTCGGCTAACCCGGTTGCTAACCAGCTTCACCTTCCCAACTCGTGATTCTTTATGCTTATCGCCCCCTTCATGCCAGAGTCGAAGGAAGTGGAATACGCGACTGAAACAGAGGAACTCACGTTGCTGTTTTATGTAGCTCCTTGCGGTATTCCCCGATATTCGGGAAGCATTGAAATGTTTAAGTAGACCTTAAAATCTTTTAATGCGTGGATATTCACAGATCCTGATTTTTTGGCATGGTTGTATGTTACCTTCTTATCGTGCCTCATACCAGCCAGCTACGTGAATTACGCAAATAAGTTGCTTTATACTTTTCTACTGGTTTACGGCCATTTTAAATTTAAAGCAGCACCGTCAAATGCAATGTTTAACACATTCCTACACGCACTGAAAGTAGACGCCCTCGCTTGCAACATCTTCGCCGCACCTTTAAGTTTGGTGGCAAGTGGGGTTGCCACTAGCCGCACTGTCTGGAAGATGTGGTAAGGTTTGCGTACACTAGCTTTAAACAGTGCTAACCCAAACAAAATTTGATTAATGTGCACTTCTTAGTCCATCTTTTGCACGAAACAGTGGAAACTTTCTCAAATCACGTCTTTTTGACAGCCAACATTCCTCTTTTGGTATTACTTTTCAAGTATGCAATTATTAAACGCGATGGACTCTACTTGAGGATACTTGAACCGAAGGACACGCTAAACTTTCTTAAACAAGGCAATATACTAATGGCCTTCGAGGTCCCTTTTGTGCAGGGAAGTACTAATACGGTGTAAGTTTTAGTTCTTTTGTCAATGTATACAAAGAGAAACTGCGTGTGATGGCACCCTGACTCATATCACCCCAAACCTGTTTTTAGGACATCGAACTCTAAAAATGGATCGGTATCAGATACTTTTGAGATCTTGTGCGACGGGATTCTTACAGTAATCAATTCACATCTATCCAATGCGGGCGTCAAAGAACAGGCCATAGTAGCAGGTAGACCAGTAAGCTTGTTCTGGCATCTGTAACCATATATTCTGTTTTCGTGTAATAATACCCAAAAGGCCTTGCATGATGTCAGCTTCAGTACACAGTAACGGACACGAGAACGCACTTTGCGACTCGCCAAAGAGCCTTCTAACGGTTTTTATTTTGCACCACGGGATATTAACTGCTCAGTTGTTCCCTTATCCCACTATATCGTTTAAGTTATAGCACAGTTCAGAGGACTCGACGTTTTAGAGTTATAGTAATACTTCAAGCATTCTCGACGTTAAGTACCAGAGCCTGGCAGGAATCACCATAGAATCTCAGCTATTTGTTAGTTAGTTATTAGTTAGTATGTTAGTTATTAGTTATTAGTTAGT